TGGCTCGGACTAAGCCAGGGTGGGACTGGGGGGCGTTCTGTCAGCCCCTGCTTGCCTTCATTTTGCTAGGTGAAATTTGACTTTCACGTATAAATTACAAGAATCGTGCAGGCACGGTGCGGGGCAAAGATCATTCAGTACGCTCGTTGGGCTGACCATCACGAAGCCCCAGGGTGGGGGGATTCAGGGGCGGCGAGCTGATAAAATCTGCAGTAGCGCAGTCCTGTCTCTCTCACTGCCGGATGTCATGGTCGCACCTGCCCTAGCTCTGGACTGTGTCAGAGTCCTTTGTGAACTGACTTGACTTGCTCATATGAAAGAAGACATTATCCTCTCCTTGTTTTTGCAGGATGATGGGGATACTTGCTGTCACCTCAGCAAGTTAAGTGGGTTCACAGAAGGATGTGACAGTGCTGGGGGGGGTCACACTGCCAGGAGAGGAAGAAGCAGTGTTGCCTATCCTTGGCAGCAGTGAGCAATTAGATCAGCTAAGCTCCCTGTGAGGCTGCAACCCGGTATTACTATGGGCAGCATCAGCTATTGGGGCTAGATAAGCACCTGCAAATGCAAGGAAGGCTTTTAACACAGGCTTTTTGAGAAGGCTCCTTGTAAAGAAGTCCACTTTTTCACTTGGTTGGTTGGTAGAGATGAAGCATAGCAAGATGCTCCATTCCAGTAAAGGGATTTTGAGGTGACAGAGCGGGTAGGAGCTTCAGGAAGAGAAGAAAGGATAAAGATAAGAACAGATAAAAATACTGAAACAAGATAGGGCAGTGAATGGAATAATGACTTTTAAACTTTTAAAATTAGAAAGTGGTGAGAAGTTCTCCAACTGAAAATGAAATAACCCCTCATTTATGCAGCTAAATTATAAATATATTTTTTCCTGTGAAGTTTCATGCTTCACAAGGGAGGATATGATCTTTAGTCTGGAACTTGACTTAGTCATAATCATAGCACAGTAAGTTATCTCCTGTGGGAAAAAAACTAATTTCTGTGCTCTTTATATAATAACTTCTTTTATTAGAAAGAAATTAATAAGTAAGCAACTCAGTTTCTGGTTGTAACATAATAATCTTGTTTCAGTTTTATATTTGCAATTTCATAGAAGCAAAGAATTTAGAAACATTTATTTACTTGTTGTGTGTTACTTTGTAACTTTCTGTGGGGGCCCATGGGTCCATGTTATGTGTTACTTGTTAATCATATTTCTCCCCTTAAAAATATTGGATGTGGACTTCTAAGTTTCTTTTCTTATTTTTCAGAGACGGGTGTATAGAACAACAACACATGTACCATGTGAATTAGGACAGATCATGGATTCAGAAACGTTTGAAAAATCTCGTCTATATCAGCTGGACAAGAGCACTTTCAGCTTTTGGTCAGGGCTGTATTCAGAGGTTGAGGGCACTGTAAGTACATGAGCTGCTACAGTATTCATATTATATTTTTCATACAGTTCACCTGTGAAATACTCAGTTTTTGATTTTTAATGATCCTATGCAGCTGCACTGCCAGCATTGTGGCATACTACATCAAACACTGTAATGTGGTAGGCTTAGGATTCTGTATTTCTTGTCTGTGCCTGTATTTGCCGTATAAAAGAAAGTTTTATTCAGATAGCGTGCTCGTGTCCAAATGGAAGATTTGGAACCCTTACTTTCTGGATTTGTTGCTTTTCTGCTCTGTTCCCAGCCTGCATGAATACACTGATAATCGCTAGTCTTATTTTAAAATATCTTGAAAACAAGATATATGAAAAGTTGACTCCCACAGCTGACCAAAGTTGAAGTTGATATGTGCAATAAGCATATGTAACCTCACGAAGTTCAATAAAGGGAAGTGCACGGTCCTGTCCCTGGAGAGGAATAACTCCAGGCACCAGTACAGGCTGCGGGGTGATGTGCTGGAAAGCAGCCCTGCAGAGAAGGATCTGGGAGTCCTGGGGGACAACAAGTTGACCCTGAGCCAGCAATGTGCCCTTGTGGCCAAGAAGGCCAATGGGATCCCAGCCTGCATTCGGAAGACCATTGCCAGCAGGTGGAGGGAGGTGATCCTGCCCCTCTCCTCAGCCCTGGTGAGGCCCCACCTGGAGTACTGTGTCCAGTTCTGGGCTCCCCAGTACAAGAGAGGCACGGAGCTCCTGGAGCCGAGTCCAGCGAAGGGCTACAAAGATGGTGAAGGGACTGGAGCATCTCTCGAGTAAGGAAAAGCTGAGGGAGCTGGGGCTGTTTAGTCTGGGGAAGAGAAGGCTGCGGGGGGGACCTTATCAGTGTGTTTAAATATCTGAGGAAAGCCCAAGAGGATGGGGCCAGACTCTTCTCAGTGGTATCCAGTGACAGGACGAGAGGCACAAACTGAAATGGAGGAAGTTCTGTCTGAACAGAAGGAAAAACTTATTTACTGTGAGGGTGACTGAGCACTGGGACAGGTTGCCCAGAGAGGTTGTGCAATATCCTTCTCTGGAAATATTCAAAAGCTGCCTGGACGTGGTCCTGGGCAGCGTGCTCTAGGTGACCCTGCTTGAGCAGGGGGGTTGGACTAGATGATCTCCACGAGGTTCCTTCGAATCGCAACTACTCTGTGATTCTGTGGTATGTAATGAAACGTAATGAAAATGTGTGAAATGAAATGTAGTGACACTGATGGACTATGTGTTGTTTCTTAAGTAGGTTCTGCAAATTCTGCAAATTCTTCTTTATAAGCATTTTATTGTACTACATACTAATGTGAGACCATGTCAAATACTCCAAAAATGCACAATAAAATGGAAGTAATAGTGAAATGCAGTGTCGTGTCACACTGTGCAGCTATAATGTATATTACATTTTTATAAATTAGTGGCACAGCTGACCTTTTATCGTTTCCACTGCTAAATAATTAAGCAGCATTATAATTATTTTAAGTGGTTAGAAATACAGACTTTTTCTGTGTTTGAAGGGATGCAGCTTCTTTCTTTTTAGGTGACATTTAACTAGAAGGTAGAAAGGAAAACCTGTGAGAACAGGAAAAGTATCAAAAGATGTTTCTTGAGTGTAAGAACAGTTATACTCTGCAGTAAAATTTCTATATAAGAAAAAATAGAACCATAGCTTAGAACAAGTATTTATATGTGCCATATACAAATAGTCTTAAGAGAAACCTTTTCTGACTTATTGCTGAAGTATATTGTTCATCAGTAGCACGACTAGGTGAAAAAGGAATCTTGAAATGCCTGGCACTGTAAAAATATAATTACTGAGTATAGTATGTTATTGCAGTGATGTCCTTAAGACAGCAAAAAGGTCAATTATAAAAGACAATGAAAATATTAAAATAGTGTAAGTCATGTAATTATATGACAGAAAAGCAGTACTTAGGAATTGTGACCTGTCTTAATTCTTGCATTTTCTGATCTATGGGTTTTGTGCGTCCTAACCTGTATGTTGCGTTTTATTGCATTTCGTTTCTAAGTACATATTACGTGTACTTATAAACATGTACTGACACCTGTCATTACAACTTTTGTATTATCATTGTTGGGCTTTTTGGTATACTCAGTAGAACTGAGTAGAACTGTAGACAATTTCTGTGTGAAATTTGGAAAGACTCCATGTTTTTGACTGACTCTGGAGTCAGTATTTCATTGGAGAAATTACACTGTCCTACAGCAGTGGGTTAGTGGACAGGGTGGAATGATGCTACCTAGGAGGTGCCAGAAGTCAAAAAGTTCTGAAGGTTTATCTTGATTTCAAGAGCACTAGCCTGAACAGCCTCTCTCCTTGTTTTGAAGGAAAATACTATACTTGGAACGAGCCTCTTTTGCTATTGAATGTAGTGCCTGCTAAACAAAAAATGTTATCTGTGGCGCCTGTGCTTATCTTTATCCATCTTTACTATTGTGCCTTTGTAGGAAAAGCATAGCCTTTGTTTTGTCTCATGATCTCTCCTTTCTGTTCTATCCCTATTACTCTAGAGTAGATCCACAATGATTTTGGAAGCTGATGGAACAGTTAAAGAAATTACTTCATCTAGCTGTCCCCTACAGCTCAGCCACCAAACCCAGACTATGATAGTGCTTCCTAATCGGCTGTCAAAACCAGATTTTGAGTCGAGCATCTTAGCTTATGTGTTCCGGTATTTCAGCTGTGATGGTGATAAACAGCTAGGAGGAAGTTGCATCTGAAATGCTGCTGCAGTTTTCATACTTGTTGTGGCACTTTGTTTTTTGCCATCAGTGGCACTGATGGGCAAAAGCCAAGAAAAGAACATGGACTATGAGGTGGAAAGCCTCCAGCTATTTAATTAAGCAACGTCCTGAGTAAGGTGGTCTCAGAGTGTTCAGCTGAGATTCTGTGTTGTTTTGAGGCATGCCTTTCTGTTTCTCAGGACATAGCCTTATGTTACCAGATTCTGCCAGAGCTAAAGTAATATGGCCTCTACTTTCTGGGTTTACTGCTTCCTTAGTGTATAGACTGTATCCGTCCTTGGCTTTGGAAGCTGCCTGAACTTGAAAGAGGCTCTCTTGGTCAAACGTCATGGAATTGGATGATAGTTTCAGAACTTCTTGCTTTTTACAGTAGGAGTCATTAACCTAGTAGGTTAGCTGAAGAGGAGGCTGCATCAGGCAAAATTACTAGTGTTTTGCTTCTGCATTCAGTGATGTGGAGCTCTTTTTAACTAGTAAGTATTATCAACGTCATGCTAATAGCTGTCTTTGCCTCAGGGATTGGTACTTTCTGGGTTTTCCAAGCTTGCTTCAGTCATTTCCGTCTCCTCACGATACTTAAAATGCACTGTAATAGATTATAAAAATAAGCCTTTTAAAAATAAAAAACTGATATTGTCTGTACAGTAAGACTACCTACTTGAAAACTGCTTGTGAATGATGCATCACTTGCTAAGAAAGTTAATGTGCAACATTTGAAAGTCAAGCTGTTTAACAAACACTACTTCCCCCTGCCTTAAGCTGTGGTTAACACTTGACTTCAGTAGCTCTCGGGCTCTGGTTTCACAAGCATTTCTTTGATGGCAGTCTATCTTAAATAGTCCACTCCTTATCCCATGTCAGCCTTTTTGGCAGGTGAGTAGGAGGCAGTGTGGGCAGGCACACATGGGAGAGCATGAAGCTTTCTTAAAATAGTTAAAGCAGGACTGATACTGAATATGAAATTATGGCCTTATTCTGAATGTCTGTCCCTCACTAGGAAACGTATGTGAGACTGCTCGAATGCAGTCAAGTTGCTGCATCTTGAATATCCCCAGTAAAGATGGGATGCTACAAACGTAGGGCAAATAAGTTTTGAGATCTTCTGAAAAATATGCCCTATGTCTGAACCAATATAGCAGCAGAGTCTACAGTAAATAAGTTTGGAGATCTGCTAATGTTTCCTAGGCAAAAAAAAAAAAAAAAAAAAACCACCCTCTGACCTGATCTCTGTTTCTGTAAAGGGAAAATGAAACACTGCAAAATATTGCTGGTTTTCTTTATGCACTGCTGCAGGTGTAGGGGAGGGATTATGCAACTTTTCTAATTTGTCTTTATAAGGTACTTACCATTCTCATTGCATGAGATGCCAGATCTGTTTCATGTTGTCTCTGTGGTGTGTGTTTTGTTTTTAAGATGATTCTACTCTGTGGAGGAATTCCTTTTCTCTGGAATCTGTCTGGTCAAATCTCTGGTCATGCTGGATTTGGACCAGAATATGAGGTAACCAGTCTTTAAATATTAGTGAAACTGCTTCCTGAGCTACTCAGTTATAATTTTTATTTTTAAGTTTGCATTTACTTAAATCAGATTTTATCTATAGGTACAATATAGTAAAAATAACAGATATTTTATAGTGAGCACAGTGATTGGGTGAGTCTGAGGATAGATAAGTGTGTGACTTTTTAAATTAGTTTACTAATTAAATATAGCCTTGTGTGTTTGTCTCAAAGTTATTTGGCTAAAGTCAAATGAGGTGATGGGTGTGGGGATTTTTTTAATTTATTGGTTTGTTCTTAAAGTTTTTAAATCCTAGATGTGATCTTCCTAAAAAAAAGTTGAGGCTATTGCTATGTTGTCTTTGTGCTATGGATGCTTTCAGCTGCTTTTTCAATGGTGCCAATCTTCACAAACAAGAAAAAAAACTTTATGTATTTTAAATTTGGAAGAAAATCATATCTCTCTAGATAATGCTACTTCGGAGGGACTGCCCTCTCTTTTCCCCTCTGTCCACCCATCTAGTGTGTGTTTGGCCATTACTTCATCTGTCATAATACAGGTTTGAACATTCTTTCGGTATTAGTTAGGTCTTCCTGCCAAAATTGAGATTTTGATCAGAGTTTTGCTCCGGCCTTAAAGCTATCCAACAGAGGCTTCTGCTGACTTTGGACAAGGCTAGTAGTTTTATTCTGTAGTATCAAGGATTTTTATTACGAACTTGAGAGACTAGTGGAGTATCGGCTTATATTTTCTCCCTCCCCCACCCCCAGTGCCAATTACAGATGAATTCTGCTGCCATTAACAAAATGTTAAGTTGGAACATAGCAGTAGCCAAACTGGGTCAGACACCAAGACTTACCTAGTACTGTGCCATGACATTGACTGCTACTGCCAGCCCCTTCCAGCAAGAACGAGAGAATTGGCACTGTGAAGCTGGAGTCCTTGTAATTATTTTCTGTGGCCGGGTATTAAAGATCATAGGTGATGATTTTTCCATCTAGTTTTATACCAAGCCTCCTTTCCCACTCATTTTCATGAAGAAGTGGTCTACTCTAGATGAGAAGGAGAATTGAGGAAAGAATGAATTCTGTTCCAGAAGCGTTCTTATTTCCATGAGGATTTAATGGATCAAGCAAATCTGAACCTTGATAAATTAAAAGTTTACATTAAAATTTTGTATCCCTTCTGCAGGTATTTGTCTTCTCCCAAGAAAATAAGCATGTCTTCATCTGAGTGGCTCTATGTTGATAGATGTATGGCTAGCAGGACAAAATTCTTCAATAGTTGAAGTTCTTATTTGACTATTGGCAATTCATGTACAAAGAATACCCCTTTAGCCTGTGGACCTTGCAGGGTCTTCATAAAATATGCTGCTGCCCACTTCTGGTTCCAGAAGATATGTGAATCTCTAGATAGTTGCTGATTAATAAAGACTGAGTACAGCAGCATCAGGCAGAAGCTACACTTAAAAGTTGCAATGTATTCAACAAGATTTTTTTCAAGAAGAGTCTCATTTTTGGGGCAGCACAGAATTTAATTGAAGTGAAAGTGTTCTTCCTGGAGGAGCATTTATTAGTAAGAACATATACACTGTGTGCTTTTTCGTAAGATTCATGCTGCTTGTGGCATTTTTGATATGTTGGTACTTATTCCTGCTTGAATCAGTGAAGCCCTGGGCATGTTAATGCTATGACCCGAATTAGGTGGCGTGCACAGAAAATCTGCCTTTCTTGTCTAGGTTCTGTAATGGGGAAACAAAATCATCTGCTCAAAGGAGCTACCTGTCAACCGCCCTGTTCTTATAGCTGGAATATTATCAAATGTCTTCACTTGAGGTTAAGGAAGGGTTAGAAATGTATGAAGTGTCCCCTTACTTCATTGTTAGGTTGCACAAGTCCTGACAGATGTCATACCTGTCTGTGGCCTAAGTGAATAAAAAGGAGGTACATATCACTTCTTGTCTTGAAAATTTCCCTATACAAGCATAAAATCTACCTGGCAACAGTGTAATTAGTAGGGAGAGGATTTACTGGGGTGATGCCAGTTTTGTCTAAGCTGCTGTTAATACGTTACCTAACGAAGGCTTCCTGTGCAAAAAAGACCTTATTGTTTTGTTATCATAAGCTCATTTTTCTCCACTCCAAAAATTCTTCAAAATGTGGGGTAGGTGGCTTGTCAGATTTATAGCTATTGCTTTTTGGACAGTTAAACCTCTGTTTTATGTGGAAGTCATGGGTACATTAACAAGTTGTCTTTTTTAATCAAAGACATTTAAGTAGTTGTGACCTGTCTGATCTCTAGTTGCACCTTAAGAAACATAAAACTAGATGATATTTACTTTGTTCTAAAGACAAGAAATGTTGACCAAGGCTTAATACCCTGTAGAGATAACATATGAATATAGGTGAACATGTATTCTGTATGTTTAATGCATGCTAAGGACTGAAAGGACTATTTTTACAGTTTGGTTTAATCTACTGTTTAATATGATTTCAAAGTTTTCAAGTATCATGCAACAGCTCCTTTATAAGGACAGTATGCTATGGC